CTTTGAAAGGCTAGGTTTAGAGGTAATCCCAATCAAAAGAGATGAGAAAGAGCTGCTTTACTATGTCTCCCAAGCGAATGCTACAAGCTATTAAGGAAGGTTTAACTTCAAAAAACCAAAGAGAATTTACCTGTTAACTCAAAGATTTCCTAGACAATGTGGCTCAAAATCTCAGAGAAGTTTATATGAGAACACAGAAAATGCATACTTTGTTTTAGAGCAAGCAGCCAAAATGAAAGTTCTGAGTTTCTCGTCAAAGGTTAAGAGTGAGAATATTTCCAATGAGCACAAACGTAATGATAAAATAAAGAGTGACCAGATATTATTAGTCTTCAAATTTGTTGTGTTCTACTTTGAACTTCAAGCTGCTACAAATTTCAATTCCAGAATTTTTTTCTGTTTTGGTTTCTCTACTAAGATGCCTTATGGTCCACTTATAATTTCCCTTAATTATGTGATCATATGTAGCACTGTATCACTGTCCTACTGTTGTTCGATTTTGCTCTAGTGGGCCCAGTAATGTGATCATATGTATTAAATAGAAAATATAAGTAACTTCAAAGTTTGTTTCTACTGAAACTTTTAGGCTTTCAGGCCTAAAGGGAAGATTTTGAAATGGATGTTCTTGAACTTCCTTCTTCTTACCCTTTGGCTTTTTGTTACCACCTTTAGAAGAGCGGGACTTCCTAGAGATAGTAGTGTCAGAATTTAGTCATGAAATGACATAAGGAATGATGAGAAGCTAGTGCCAAAGCAGTCACTCAAGGGCAAGAGAGATAATACAGCAGATATGGAGCTTGCCTTGCAAATGACTGACCAGAGTCTGATCACTGGCACCCCATATGAAGCTTGTAGCCTTTTAGGAGTGATCTCTGAGCATAGAGCCAGGAGTAAACCCTGAGCACCTTTGGGTATAGCTTAAAGAAAAGAAACAAAGAAAAAAAAAGCAATCACTTGAAATGAAACAGGAAATCATTTCATTAGAAATTCGGTGTAAATGTGATAATTTCTGATCTTCAAATAAAAATTTGAAATTGAGAAACTTTTGTGGAAATTGTTAGCATAGCATTATTGGTCAGTCTCAAACAACTTTCAAGATCTCATTAAAGAATCTAACTGGAAGAAAATTTGCATTAATCCTAACTCCCTGCCTTCCAATTAAGTGATAAGATAGTCTTCTCAAATAATTAATATTTTCCTAAACAAAAAGCTTCCTTGCATTTCCTAATATGGAAGTAACATATATATCCTTAGAAAAATCAATCAAAAGAGACAAAAAAGAAATTACTTACCAGATAAATTGTGTTGAATATTCTTCTAGAAGCTGCTCTAGGTACGTAATTATGTAGATTATTTTATATAAATGGAGTCATATGTACATTTTAACTCAAAATGTGCTGAAGATCATTAAGAATACAGATGGATATATATCATTCTTGAGATTAATGTATATCACATTTTATAGGTGTATCAACATTAAACTAGTCCTTTTTTGGAAGGACTGTCTAGATTCTTACAACCATACATTCTTCTACCTTCTGTGTATATGAGTATAACATCTTTGTGTACTTTTAAGAAGAGGTTCCTTGGGGGTAGAATTTAAAAAAATGTCTCCTTGGGGTAACACATTCCTATAACACTATTTAGGAGTTAAACATATTCATAATTTATAATAATGTATGATCTGTTACCACCAGAAAGTTTGTACCACACACATTTGCCCAGCAGTGAGCCCATTTCTCTCTGGCCATTCTGAGTTTATGCAAACTTTTCTAACTTTACTTATAAGTCAGGCAAAAGGAGCATCTAGATTATGTTAAATATTTGCCAGTGAGTGCTAGCACAGTGTTGAAGATGATTATCTTGTAACATGCTCCTTTCTGGCTTTACATAGACAATCTGTGCATTATACAGGGGGCCTTGAACAGAAATGAGATGGTATGACTTCTATGCTTCCAGATTTATTGCATTTTCACAAGCCACTCAAAATTTTCAGCTTTCATGTCTAAAGGGAAGATTTTGAAATGGGATGTTCTTGAACTTCCTTTGCAGCTGTGAGGCAGGGATGGTAAGGATTGAGCTCTGAAAAGCGCACAATTGCTTGACTAACTCAATGCTATTTTCAGGACCTTTTCTCCTACCTACCTTTACTGTACACTCACTGGAAACACTCTATCCCCCTTTCCCATACTTCTTGCAGCTAAGGGGTGGCCAGTTTACTATGTTCTATCTGTATGAAGGTACATCTTATAGGGATGGTTCAACAGATCTTTTGCTTTCCTGATTTAAATTTTAAAAACAGGCATAAGAGAAAACAAACTCACCAATACTAGTTCTCCTACACCTTCTGCCTTCAGCACAGATTTAACTCCTGAATCTGCAGGGCGATGTGATGACTTTGTAGTAAAGCAGGGCTCCATGCATGGTGAAACCCAGCACCCCAGCAAGGATCTGTGGGCTTATCTTATTGGTGTGAGGTGGCACGTGGCTAGAGCTACTCTGACTCCTACCAGATCTACTTCAGGTTTTTCAAGTCCTATGCCAAATGCATGTGAAACTCCTTAGAGAGACCAACTTCCCCACTGGCCTGTCTACATTATTGAGGTAGGCGCTCCTGATAGACACAGCATATCCTGCTTGTCTTTAAGGTTCTCAGTCGTTCATAAGTTCCAGTTTGTTCTCTCATCCCCATAACACAGCTGAAAAGAAAGGAAGGGCTTTAGTGGCAAGAAGGCATCTAAAAAGTTGGGAAATTTGTCTGGACAGCATTGGTTATGGAGCAAATTGCAAAAAGAGGAAGTGAGAATCTTTTATGCTGAATAGAATGGTGGTGACATAATTGTTACCCTAAGTATATATTTAGAAGTAGCCCAGAAGAAATCATGTATATTTATGAGGGACACAGACAAGCATGCACAATATGACTATGCATAATTACATATTGCATGGACAAAACATGGCAGAGAAGCATCAACAGGGATACCTTATTTGTAAATTAAGGAGACAAGTGATTATAACTCAAGGAGGGTCCCAGTGTACAGCCTCCACTGACCAAGTTCTGTCTAGCCAGGGCTCTGTCCGGTGTCTTATCAGTATGAAGTTCTATCTTGGTCCAATCAAATCCAAGTGAATTTATCCTAGAGAAGGATTGTCATGTCATCCAAACTACAGACCCTTTGCTAGTGTTGCGTCTGCTTCTTTGATCCTAGAGAGTCTCTCTCAATTTTGATTTAAAAAAAAAAAGGATGCACAAGGGTCAGAGAGATAATTCAGCAGTTAGGAGCACTGTCTTACATATACTAGGCTCTGGTGAGATTGTCCAGCACTACAAGGGCCCCTGAGTACCAGCCAGGAGTAGCTTCTGAGCGTTGCAGTTTGTGACCCCACAACCAAAACCACAGAGGCACAAAACTGCATAAAGCTTTGATTATTTGATCACGGTCCCTTGGGTTCTGTTTCTCTGGTTGAAACCTGGCTATTCCAAGAGCAGTGGTAAGCCCATGGGGAAACGCATGCACAGAGAAAGGCAGCTTTCAAGAATGACAGGGCTAGGGAAAGCAAAGACAGGGCGAGAGAAAGCAAATAGATCGCCTGTTAGCTTGCCCTGTTGAGAACTGAATCCCAATACTGATTCCCTAAGCCAAAATTATTAAGGTGGGCCAAAATATTCATGGGGAAGAAGCAGGCTGAGGTTAGGGTATGTGCCCTTTAGCTGTCAATATTAACTTGAACAAGATGAACTTGTTCTAGAAGTTGTTCCCTGTGTGGATCCTTCTACCTCCCAGTCTCTTCTCTTTGCTCGACGGATCGACATTAATCACCACTATCCAACTGGATATTTTGGCTTTAATTATCAGATCATTTTCACGAATCTGCTAGTATGACAATAAACAGAGGACCACCATTTATTGTCAGGTTCAATTCCCTAGACTGGCCAATTGACAGTACACGCGACCAAACTCGGGTCTTGCTGAATGAACCCCACGGAAAGAACCGAGCACGAAATAAGCAGAACAACATGGTCTTTCACAGCTGAGCTTGAGAAGAGAATAACGTGCAGTGGTTTCAAATCCGTGCCCGCAAAGACAATTTCACACAAGTACAAGGAACATTCCTTTCGTTTTCTTTTTTTTAAAAAAAAAAAAGTTGCTCACACAAGCGTTTATCCGTTGTGATGTTGACGTAGGAAAAGGTGAAATGCTGGCAATAGAATCAGTGCAACAGTCGCAGACGGAGCGCTGCCTGAGGCTCCCGGGATGAACAAGTTTACGCGCTCCCCACTTCCTCCTAGTTTCGGAGCCACGCGTTGAAAAAAGAAAAAAGAAAAGGGAACGTGTTGTTCTAGCAGTCGGCCGTCTTGGGTGGCCTTTGTTCCCTTCTTTTCCACGCTTCGCGGGACCAGGTCCTTCCGATTTCTCTGCAGTTCGGTGAGTCCTGCGACTTTTCCTCTCGTGGCCGGGGGCCTGCGGTGGATTTTGCGCAGACCCCGCCAGGGCCCCGAGCCTCCCCTTCTGCTCGCTCCGCCAGCCCGGACGCACCTTCCGCGCGCGACCCCAGAGCAGGGGTACGCCGAGCGCCGCAGGTCCCCCGCCCCCTCCCCCCCCACCCCCACCCCCCACCCCCCACGCGCGCTCGAACCGCTCGAACCCGGGAAGACCGCAGCTGCTCGCTACCACTTCCACGTCCCGGAGTGCGTCTGACGGCATCCACCTGAGCAATCACCCACCCCTCCGCCCCTCCCCCGCCGGAGCCGGGGGACCGCGGGGTCGCGCCGCCCGGATGCTGCAACCCGCCAGCCTCTCCGCGAGGGAGCGCCGGAGACTCGGGGCGCGAACCTGCCCTCGAAGCGCGCGCCGAGCCGGAAGGGGGCTCTGGACTTGGATCCCTCCCCCTTTCTGCCTGGGTCTCCCCGGCCTCGGGCTCTCAGAGCCACCTCCTGCTCCTCTTCCCAGGTACCGGCGGGGAGAGGAGGGCGCGGCTCCCCTCCCGGCACCCCCACTATGTGCAATAGCTCGGTAGACTGGAAGCAAGTCTTTTTGCTCCCCGAAGGGCATAGCCCGGCCATCAGTGCGCTGATGTTCTCGGCCGGGGTGCTGGGGAACCTGATCGCGCTGGCGCTGCTGGCGCGCCGTTGGCGGGGCGACTCTAGGCGCAACGGGGGCTGCGGCGGCAAGTCCAACTCTTTGTTCCACGTGCTGGTGACGGAGCTGGTGTTCACCGACCTGCTGGGGACGTGCCTCATTAGCCCCGTGGTGCTGGTGTCCTATGCGCAAAAGAGGACGCTTTTGGCGCTAGGCGCGTGCAAGTACTTCGCTTTCGCCATGACCTTCTTCAGCCTGGCCACGATGTTCATGCTCTTCGCCATGGCCCTGGAACGTTACCTTTCCATCGGGCACCCCTATTTCTACCAGCGCCACGTCACGTGCCGCGCGGGCCTGCTGGTGCTACCGGCTATCTATGTCTCGTCCTTGCTCTTCTGCTCGGTGCCGCTGCTGGGACCCGGGGAGTACGGGCCGTACTGCCCTGGGACGTGGTGCTTCATCCGACCAGAGAGCAACTGGTACCTGAAGCTGTACTCCTCGCTGCTGCTCATCCTCTTCGTCGCCGTGCTGCTTTGCAATTGCAGCGTCACCCTCCAGCTCGTCCGTATGCACCGTCGGAGCCGGAGAACCCGCTGCGGGCCTTCTTTGGGTAGCAGTCGCGGCGGCCCCGGGTCCCGCAGGAGAGTGGAGAGGCTGTCCATGGCGGAGGAGATGGACCACCTTATCCTTCTGGTTCTTATGTCCCTCACCTTCGCTGTGTGCTCCCTGCCTTTAATAGTAAGTCGCTTACTTCCTTAGCCCGGATAGGGTGGCTGGCTCTGGGCAATCTTCTCTCTAACCTTCTCCCGACTCACTCCCACCTGGTTAGTAAAGGGGTTTCTTAAAAGAGAGACTTGACCCTCCACAAAAGCTAGCTCAGCCCCGCGGCCACTTTCCATGCTAGAGTTTAAAAATCCTTCCAATGTCTAAGGAGGTGTCTAAAGAGGTGTCTGTCACTCTGACTCCTTTGGGTGGTGGTCCTGCATTAGACAACCCTGAGCAGCAGTTTACCTCCTGAGTCCACCCCACCCTGCCTTGGTTTTTGTGTTTGGTCTTATTTCTCCCAGGGCAAAATTTCCACTCACCCCAAGACTTTCTAGTTGCTGCTAAAGATGAGCCCAGGAGAGAAGGATCTCTGTTGCAAAACTTCAGAGCATTCATCATCCCAAAGTTCATCAGAAACAAAGTTTACAATTTCCCAAATTACTGTTTGTGTTTTTGGTTTTGAGTTTGGGGCCACTCCTTGGCCAGTGCTCAAGGATTCCTTCTTGCTCTGTGCAATATTATGGGGGCCTTGTGCCATCCTTGGTCTGCCCCATGCAAGGCAGGCAACTTACCTGCTGTATTATGTCTGATCCCCAGTTTTCCCAAATCTACCTGTGGGGAATATAATTCCTTTTGGTCTTGATAATTCATAATAGTAACTAGAGGAAAGATGGTTGCAGGAAGAACCCCTTCATTATTTTCTGAGATCCTTCTGGAGGAGGCAGTTTCTTGTTCCCTTCTACATCTCTCCATGCTACTGTCAGAGATGGATACAAGTATCCTTCAGCTTAGAGTTGCACACTTCATGAACATAATGCCCTGAGCAGAAAAGAATGGCTATTCAATTCTGGGAGCAGATACAGAGGCATGATCAGTAGAATGGAAACTGCTCAAGGATCTGAGAAATAGGCACTGACCCAGGAGAGGGACTGTCATGGTCTGAGACACGTTCAGCAGTTTGATGCTGAAGTTTGAGCCTATCATGATGCTATAAGTTTGGGCCTACTAAGGTGGAAACTCAGTAGCAGAATCTGGGATGCATTCAAAAATGTGCTGACCTCATAGAGAGAGGAACTATGAGTTTTGGCAGCACCGCTCCCTAATCTTTCAAACAAGTTCCTAAGTTGGTAAACAGTCGGCAAGGACTACCACCTGCCATTACCTTGGAGAAAAGACAGACAGACCTGCCTTCTATCAGTAGTCTGACCAGTAGGAGCTGAAAAAGTAGTATTCCCCTATTTTCTACCTCCATTGCTGTCTCTAGTAGACAGCAGTGTGAAAATGTAGGAGCCCAAGTTAACACCATTTAGACTCCATTTGTAGACTCTGTTTCCCACCCTGAATCCTGCCTGTTCTCACCTTTTTATTCCATTCTCACATAGGTTAGGAAGTGGTTTAAATCACTAAGTTACACGTTGCCAGAAATGGGATGTAGTATATCAAAGGTGACATATAAGAAGAAGTAGCACCATGGGCTGCTATGTACCCCATTCCATCCAGCTTGAGCTGGGGAGTTTGTTAACAGAAATGCAGGGCCAAAGATACAGATGATAGGCTGTTTGCCTTGCATGTTGCCAACCTGAGTTTGATCCCTAGCACCTCATATGATCCCCTGAGCTCAGCATATGAGTGATCCCTGAACACAGAGCCAGGAATATGCCCTCAGCACAGCCAAGTATAGTCCCCAAAGCCCCCAAATTAAAAGGTAATGTGATGGTGTGAGACTAACATGATTTCTATGTATTTGTTTTATTTACTGGTAGGATCTTTCACTTATATTAGGAGATGAGTAGGCTGAGGCAGTTGGTACTAGAATATAAAATGTTTATCTCTGAAGGAAAACACTGCAAATACGACTAACGAACTTGGAATTCAACTTGGGGGACAGAAATCCTTTCTGAATTGGAGAATGCCTATCTTGAACTAGTGGAAGTTCAGATGTTGATGATAGAATTTTATCTATTTGCGAGTATTTCTATAAAAAAAGGAAAGCAGGAGAAAGTTGGCTTTGATCTCCTTTGAACTCTACTGACCCCTGATTTTAAAAGAATAAAATCAGTAATTTTCAACAGAATTCCCTGTTTTCAAATAAGTGTGCCTTTTATCATGAGAGTTACATTATTGCCCACTATATATATATATATATATATATATTTATATTACGGTCCTCCCATTGTTCATCAGTTTGCTCGAGCAGGCCCAGTAACATCTCCATAGTAAGACTTGTTGTTACTGTGTTTGGCATATTGAATACGTCATGGGTAGTTTGCCAGGCTTTGCCATATGGGCAAGATAGTCTCGGTACCTTGACGGGCTCTCCGAGAGGGGCAGAGGAATCGAACCCGGCTTGGCCGGGCTAGCTGCGCGCAAGGCAAATGCCCTACCCCTGTGCTATCTTTCCAGCCATATAATTTATATTTAGTGTATATTTATATAATGTATATTTAATTTAACATTAGGTTGGAGAGCTCCAGGTTGCCAAAAGGAAAAAGCTTAGAGATAGAATTCTGGTTAGCAGGGTTAGGGTAGTAGATTTGCTTAGAAACTTTTTAGATTAGTTACTTATGACTTGAAGAAGTGGGGAGATGAAGGTTATGAAAAAAGGCTTAATTCCCCTGTGCCATTCTTTATTATCAATAAGCATCATCTAGATTTTCTTCTTCAAGTACTCTTGGACAAAGAGCAGGGTTAAAACCTAGCATGGGGGGCCTGGAGCAATGACACAATGGGTAGGGCGTTTGCCTTGCCTGCGGTTGACCTGGATTGATTCCCAGCATCCCATATGGTCCCCTGAGCACAGCCAGGAGTAATTTCTGAGTGCATGAGGCAGGAGTAACCCCTGTGCATCGCTAGGTGTGACCCAGAAAGCAAAAAAAAAAAAAAAAACCACCAAAACCTAGCATGGACATAATCCAAAAACCACACAAATTAACTTCTTGCCTTGGGAGTAATTTGACATGCCATCCAAATGAACAATGGATATAATCCACTAGGCCCAAAGAGAGCCTTACACATATCTTCAGTAGAAAGATATGTCATCTCTTAATAGTAAAGTCCACATTGGCCATTGTTATCTTGTTACTGAATTAATGATACTATCATTTACTCGAAAACAGGTGCCTAGATTCTAGGCTTTAACCCTTATAAAATTCTGTACTACCCCATTTAAATTATTTCTTAGATGACAGTCAGTTTAAAATGCATGACTTCTGTTTAGTACATTGATCAAAATGCTTGACATGCATAATGATGGGAAAATGGTGCTTTTTCTTATGTTCATTTCTTCTATGTCTCCCACAATGAACTTGTAGTCAGTAATGGAATACTCCTGTCCCCAGACAAGGTGGGAATCGTTTCTCCATATTTTTTAGTTGTTAGACAAGACAAAGTCTTGTGGTTGCTTTCTAAAATTATCTTGTTCCTCTAAAAAAGCATAAAATCTAATAAAAATACATGATGGGCCACACATATGAGTCACATATAAAAATTTTAAATTTCTAGAAACCACATATCAAAAAGTAAAAAAAGAAACAGATGAAATGGATTCTAATCAATCTATTTCAGTGAGCCCAGTATATCAAAAAATTAGAGATTCAAAATGTGGTCAATGTAAAGTAATTACTAATGCAGTATAGTTGTCTTCCTATGTGCCCCCAAATACTAGCAATTTATATTATCACTGCTTCCTCCTTCCTTAAGAAAGCAGTGCTGTTCTTTGTATTCCTGAGAAGTGGGTCCCACCCATTCCAACCAGGAGGATTTTTCACAACTGTGTAACACCTGTTTTTTTCTACAACATTCCAGGAGTGGGGATAGGGAGTATGGGGAATTCAGGAAACTTGGAACTATTAATTCCAAGGTATGGACAGGTTAGAATTATTGGTTCTTCCAAGAATTCTACACTTCTGAAGTTAGGTAGCACTGCCTGTAGCACTGTCCTCCCGTTGTTCATCGATTTGCTCAAGCGGGCCCAGTAACATCTCCATTGTAAGACTTGTTATTACTGTTTTTGGCATATCAAATATGTCACAGGGAGCTTGCCAGGCTATGCCGTGCGGGCGAGATACTCTCGGTAGCTTGCCAGGCTCTCCGAGAGGGACCAAGGAATAGAACCCCGGTCGGCTGCATGCAAGGCAAATGCCCTACCCACTGTGCTATATAATTACCCTGTAATAAAGTCAAGTTCAACCTCAGCTATCATCACCAACATAAAAATAAGTAGCATTTTTAATTTTTAATTTTTGCATATATGAACCTACTACCTTCACAACATCTGTAAGATTAATGGTATTATATTCCATGTTATGTATATAGCAAATAATTTGGGCTGGAGTGATAGCACAGCAGGTAGGGCATTTGCCTTGCACACGGCCGACCCTGGTTTGATTCCTCCATCCCTCTCGGGAGCCTGGCAAGCTACTGAGAGTATCCTGCCCATATGGCAGAGCCTGGCAAGCTCCCTGTGGCATATTTGATATGCCAAAAATGGTAACGAGTCTTACAATGGAGACATTACTGGTGCCTGCTTGAGCAAATCGATGAACAATGGGAGGACAGTGCTTCAGTGCTACAGCAAATAATTTATACTGAGTTCCACAGCTAGTGAATGATGGAATCAGAATTTAAAGCCAGAAAGTTTTAGGCATAGAGATCTATATGCTTACCCATAATACTATCAGAGAGAAAGGAGTTGTCTCAGTAGTATCATAAAAAGATTAATACTGTATTTCATAACAGAATTGTGAAGATGTTAGAAATATCTGGACTACTTTTTCTTAAATTATAACTCAATGGCTTTAAACATACAATGATAAAAACCATTCTCTATGTCAGTTTCAAGGGGTATATAAGCTGGGACCATGTGTGCAGTTCACTTCTACTTCTCCAAAGACCTATGAATTAGAAGGCTGAGACTGGAATTTAAGGAGATTGACTAATATAAATACTGCCCTAAATTAAAAAATAATCAGATT